CAGAGAGAGAGACAGAAACAGAGAGACACAGACAGAAACACACAGAGACAGAAACAGACACAGAGAGAGAGACAGAAACCGACACAGAGAGAGACAAACAGAAACGCACAGAGAGAGAGAGAGACAGAAACAGAGAGAGAGACGGAAACAGACACAGACAGAAACACACAGAGAGACACAGACAGAAACAGAGAGAGAGAGCGGGTCAGAGATTAGGACAGAGAGACAGACAGTGGGATGGATGGGGGGAACAGACGGACCGTGAGGGGACAGACGGGGAGAGATAGAAAGAGAAAAGCAAGGATTGAAGGGGAGAGAAACAACAGCCACAGCAATTAACATGGGAGAGACTATAGGAATGAAGTGTCATGGATTTCAGAGATTAAAAGAATAGAGTGAACAAATCAACTCATCACTAAGAACAGCAGGAAGCGAGAAACAGGGAGAATTCAGGTCCTACTGTACACCCATGGATCAGTTTGCAGTCAAAGAATGAAGGAGACTGCAGAATGACTAAGTTCAGAACTACAAATGAGAGCAAATACTTTGGAAGACACTGCCTGTTTTCCAAGGGAGGCAGTTCCCGATCATTAAGTACTAAGGAATCATCTTCTTGTCTAAAACTCTTGACTGGATAGATCTTCTATTTCACAGAATAGTTTATTTCCCAAGTTTTCCTCCATAGCCCTAAATACATTCTGCCAGGGGTAATGGTGGATGCAAATACGATAGGGGCATTTAAGGGGATTTTAGATAAGCACGTGACCAAGCAAGGAATGGATGGATGTGGACCATGGGCAGACGGAAGAGATTAGTTTAATTTGGCGTCATGTTCGGCACAACATCGTGAGCTAAAGGGGCTGTTCCTATGCTGCACTGGTTTATGTTCTATATCTCCCGTTCCTCCCTCATCCCACACACATTTACCCCATTCCCCTTCCATGCCCCATCATATCTCCTGTGTCCACTCTACTGTGATTCAGTACTAAGCTGGTTAGCAATTGGCAAGACTGACAAGTGTTTTAAATGCTAATGAGGCTAATATAATAAGCATGGAGGCTTTGAAAATCTATTGTGAAAAAGAACTGAATTCACAGAATGGTTACAGCACAGAGGGAGGCCATGGCTGTATTGGCTCTCCAAAGCTGCAGTTTTCCCAGTGTTATTCCCTTACCTTCTCTCCATAACTCTGCACATTCTTCTTTTCCAGATAGTAATCCAATTCTCACTTAAATTCCATTTAAAGATTCACTGAGGATGACTGAAGACATTAAAAAGGAACCACTTCCCACCAACATTAAGGAGGAAGAAAATTTTGCCGTAGATAATCAAGAAAAAGCTGTAGAAGAGGAGGAAGAGTTATCGCATGCAGAAATCCTGGACCTATTTCAGGAAGGTCTAGCCATGATCGTCCAGGATCCATTGCTGTGTGATCTTCCAGTTCAGGTTTGTGGTTTATTTTAATCATAAGCTTTACACATACACAATGATTACACTTTTATCAGTGATGATGTTTGATATCAAGAATGCAAATACTGTTTGATCGACGGAAATCTTTTTCTGGTCTTTTAATTGTACACAGGATGTGGCATTGCTGACTAGGCCCAACATTTATTACCCATCCCTAATTGCCCAGCGGGCAGTTGAGAGTCAACCACATCACTGTGAATTTCATGTAGGCCGGACCACATAACATAGAGTCATAGAGATGTGCAGCTCGGAAACAGACCCTTTGGTCTAACTTCTGCATGCCCACCAGATATCCTAAATTAATCTAGTCCCCTTTGCCAGCATTTGGCCCATATCTCTCTAAAACCTTCTTATTCATGTACCCATCGCGATTCCATTTCAATGTTGTAATTGAACCAGCCTCCACCAATTCCTCTGGCAGCTCGTTCCATACATTCTGTGTGACAAAGTTTCCCTTCAAGTCCTTTTTAAATCTTTCACCTCTCACCTTAAACCTCTAGTTTTGGATTCCTGTACCCTGGGAAAAAGACCTTGGCCCCTCGTGATTTTATAAACCCCTACAAGGTCACCCCTCAGCCTCCGATGCTCCAGGGAAAATAGCCCCAGCCTATTCAGTCTCTCCCTGTAGCACAAAACTTCCAACCCTGGCAACATCCTTGTAAATCTTTTCTGCACCCTCTCAAGTTTAACAACATCCTTTCCATAGCAGGGAGACCAGAATTGAATGCACAGATTTGCTTACCTAAAGGACTTTAGTTAATCAGATGGGATTTTACAATTGACAGTGTTACAACATTTTCAGTAGGCCAGCTTTTTATTCCAGATTTTCTGTTTAATTGAGATTTCATCATTTGACATGGTGGGATTTATATCCATGTCTAGGGGTTCTGGATTACTAGTCCAATGATATTACCAGTGCACCATCACCTCCCCAAACATTAAGAATTGCAATACAGTGTCTTTGTCTCTGTAGGCTTTGTTAAGAATATAAACTCCTGGGTATGATCTGGCCAGAATAGTTTTAGCTAGGTGTAATTTCATGGGCCTTCAATAGGACAAGTAATTGTGTTAGATTTAAAAAAAAGTATGAGGGCAGAGACCCTAATAAAATTTGTATATGATTCTTAAAAGATAAATTTGACATGAATTAAGATATTTTTCTTTATAAATACGACCAAGTAATAGTACTGTGAATCCCTGCAGTGTGGAAGCAGGCCATTCGGCCCATCGAGTCTGCGCTGACCCTCCAAAGAGCATCCCATCCAGACCCACCCCTCTACCCTGCCCTTGTAACCCTGCATTTCCCATGGCTAATCCATCCAGCCTACACATCCCTGAACACTACGGGCAATTTAAGCATGGCCAATCCACCTAACCTGCACATCTTTGGACTGTGGGAGGAAACCGGAGCATCCAGACAAAACCCACGCAGACACGGGGAGAATGTGCAAACTCAGACAAACAGTTGCCTGAGGCTGGAGTCAAACCCGGGTCCCTGCCACAGTGTGGGCACTATGAATTGAAGAATAGAACATAGTAAATGTGAGGTAATGAAGGCAAAAATATTGATGCTATTCAAAAGAACAACTTTTAAGTTTTATAAATATGCTGATGCACTGACCCATTGTATTAATTAGTGGTGCATTGTTAACATCATTAAGCTATCAATATTCAAACTCTATATTCACTTTAAATCTGCATTCAGCTGAGACATAGAGATGTGCAGCATGGAAACAGATACTTCGGTCCAACTCCTCCATGCTGCCCAGGTAAACTAAATTAATCTAGTCCCGTTTGCCAACATTTGGACCATTTCCATCTAACCCTTCCTATTCATGTAATCATCCTGATACCTTTTAATTGTTGTTCTTGTACCAGCCATCACCAAAACTTCTGGCTGCCCATTCCACAGATGCATCACCCTCTGCATGAAAAAATTGCCCCTCAGGTCCCTTTTAAATCTTCCCCCTCACCTTAACCCTATGACCCCACCCCCAGTTCTGGACCCCCCTACCCTATGAAAAAGACCTTGGCTGTGCACCCTATCCAATCCCTTCATGATTTTATAACCCTTTATAAGGTCACCCCTCAGCCTCCGATGCTCCAAGAAAAATAACCCCAGCACATTCAGCCTCTCCCCATAGTGCAAACCCTCCAACCCTGGCAACATCCCTGTAAATCTCCTCTGCATCCCCTCAAGTTTAACAACGCCATTCCTATTAGCAGGGAGACCAGAACTGAACACAGCCCTCCAAAAGTAGCCTAACCAATGTACTGTACAGCCACAACATGACCTCCCAACTCCTATACTCAGTGCACTGACCAATAAAGGCAAGCATACCAAACACCTTCTTCACCTTTTTCTGATGAAGGGTCTAGGCCCGAAACGTCAATCTTTCTGCTCTTATGATGCTGCCTGGCCTGCTGTGTTCATCCAAGCCCTGCACCTTGTTGTCTCACCTTCTTCACTACCCTGTCTACCTGCGACTCCACTTTGAAGGAACAATGATCCCGTGCTCCAAGGTCTCTTTGTTCGGCAACACTCGCCAGGGCCCTACCATTAAGTATATAAGCCCTGCCCTGGTTTGCCTTACCAAATTACAGCACCCCACATTTATCTATATTAAACTCCATCTGCCACTGTTTGGTACCATTGATCAAGGTCCTTTTGTACTCGGGTAACCTTCTTGGCTGTCCACTACACCAACAATTTTAGTGTCATCTGCAAACTTACTAACCATATATCCTATGTTCACATCCAAATCATTTATATAACTGATGAAAATCAGTGGACCCAGCACTGATCCCTGAGGCACACCACTGATCACAGATCTCCAATCTGAAAAACGACCCTCCACCACCACCCTCTGTCTCCTACCTTCAAGCCAGTTTTGTATCCAAATAGCTAGTTCTCCTTGTATTCCATGTGATCTAACCTTGCTAACAAGTCCACCATGAGGAACCTTGTTGAACGCCGATTTAAAACTGAATTTTAAGTTTCTTGAAGAGGTAACAGAAAGGATAGATGAGGGTAGTGCAGTACATAGACTTTCAAAAGTGTTTGATTATAGTGCCATTCAGCAGACTTGTGAGAAAGATTATAGCTCATGGAATAAAGGGGCCAATAGCAACATGGATATAAAATTGGCTGGAGTGATGGGAAGCAGTAACAGCCGGTGATTATTTTTTGGGTTGGAGGAAGGTTTCTAGTGAGCCCTCCAGGGGTCGATATAGTGAAGTTGCTTTTCCTGATATATATTAACGATCTGGATCTTGGCGTGCAGGGGATTGTTTCAAAGTTTGCAGATAACATAAAACTTGGAAGAAATGTGAACCAGGAGGACCGCGTACAACTCCAAAAGGATAAAGACAAGTTGGTGAAGTGGGTGAATAAATAGCAGATGAGTTTCAATGCAGAGAAGTGTGAGGTGATGCACTTTGGTTTGAAGAACATTGAAAGATAATATAAAACAGGAGGTACAGTTCTAAAGGGGGTGCATGAGCAGAGGGACCTTGCTATGTAGGTGCACAAATCACTGAAGGTGGTGGGACAGCAGAGGGAGCAGTTAATAAAGCAAACCGTGTCCTTGGCTTTATTCTTAATGGCATAGAATGCAGGAGCAAGGAGATTATGTTAAACTTGTATAAAAGACTTGTTAGACCTAAGCAGGAGTACTGTGTACGGTTCTGGGTGCCACATTGTAGGAAAGATGTGAATGCAGTGGAGAGAGTGCTGAAACAATATATAAGAATGGGTCCAGGGATGAGAAAGTTTAGCTATGAGGGTATATTGGAGAGGTTGGAACTGTCCTGCTTGGAGAGAAGAAAACTGAGAGGATTGGATAGATGCACAGGAAAACACACACAGGCTCATGCTCGCTCTCTTGCTCTGCTTGGAAGTATGGTTAGAGGCAAGTTCAGTTGGGGCATTTAAGGGGCCACTGCTGATTATTTAAATATAAAAACAATGTGATATGGGGAAAAGGCAGAAGAACACACTAAATCAAGATGTTCATTTGGAGAACTGGTGCAAACACCATGGGCTACATGGCCTCCTTCTGTGACATAAGTATTCTGTCATGAATATCATACGACTCATTTAATTTGATTTACTTTATTAGACTTTTTCAATTTGAACAGTAAAACATGTCCCCTTTATCACTGTTTCCTGACTTGATTTAAATTGCATCATTTCTTATTTGTTCCGGTATTTCTGTCCTGAAAAATATCTTGGCAACTGTGTTTTAAAAGTGTCATTGCCTTCACAGCATTTCAGAAGCCTCTCCCTGTCTGTCTATATCCCAGCAACTCTCTTTATTACATGCAGACTTCGGGCTGTAAGGAGAAAGAAAAGCTTTCTAATGAATTGGGTGTGAAAGGTCAGCGAGGCAGTGGACCTCATTGTTTTACATTCTGTGAGAAGCACCGCCAATACTGTCATTTTTGTATCTCAATTTATGATCTTCCCCAATCACTTTTCTGAATGAGGTGTGCTTTTAAAAGACTGCTATTAAAGGTACATTTGCTCCAAAATCCTTTCTATCAAACAACAGTTCAAAAAAATGCCAAACTCCCAACAGTGCTGGTTTAAGTGGACCGTTATCAGTGCTGCTGACTTTGATTTTTATTTTATCATTTAGGTTACTTTGGAAGAGATAAATTCTCAGATCGCTCTGGAATATGGTCAAGCAATGACTGTCAAAGTAAAGAAAGGAGATAGTGAAATAATGCGTGAGTGCAGTTTTTCAGCGGTTTCATCATTTCAGCTGAAGTTGTTGTGCTCCTGCTGAATATATTGCAACCTCGTTACGAAACGTATGACCGTCGCTCATTCAGCCTGGCTGCCTGCTTTAATTATGAACGTTAAATCTCTCCTGTTCAGGCCATTTGAAAATAGGGACTGGACTTTTGCAGGTTCTGGAGATCCTTTAAAATAAGGCGGGTGAAACCAGGACAGGGAAGTCCCTTACAACTTTCCAGCCAGCACCATTTTTGCCAAGCGGGGAAAAGGGGAGGGGACTTGAATGACAGGGCCGTTTGAAAATATGCTAAATTTAAGCAGACCCAATTCTTGCTGGACAAGGGCCACTGCTGCGGGAGTCAGCAAGTTAAGGTGAAAATGTAAGTACTGTTGATGGTCAGGCGAGGTCTCTTTAAGTGTAATGATATGCAGTTACTTAAATCCTCAGGCCTTTGTTTATAAAAAAAGCGAAAAGATTAGGCTGCTGCTGTTAAGTAAAGTTTTAAAAAAACATGTGCTGCTAGACTTCTTTGATAACAGACAATCTGGTGAAGTGTATAAAATGTATCATTACCTTGTGTTGTGTAGTTTCAGTCGTGTTCATTGCTAAAATTACACTAAGCTATTGTTGCAGTTATGCCCACTATGAATGCTTGGCTGGGTATAAAAAGATCCAAAAACTCTTAGCTCACTGGGGAGAGGTGTGTTCACATTTGTTGACAGTTTTATGAGTATATTAAATGATTAACTGTCTTTTGATATTGTTACTGAATAGAAATTTTCTTGTTTTATAACAATTTGATTGCTTGAAGGGATTGGAAATAATTGAATACATTTCATCAATGAGTTTTTTCTGTCTGAAATTTCCTCAAGTAAGAGCTTTATTAGGTTGTTAGAAGCTTTTTTTAAATATCATATGGATCCTGATAGCTGAGATATAATGAGATGGTACGGCGTGGGTTTGAAGCTGAGGGAGTATGTGGGGGGTAGTGGGTGGATGGGTGAAGGCTACAAGTCCTCATACAGCTTCTGAAATATTGGGATGAACCCCAGAGAACAGAGGTGGGCCTTCTAACCAGCCTGCCTCAATCCTTGACTGCTTTTGAGATCGATTTAAGGCAATGCTTCCCAGCATTTCTCTCTCTGTGGCCCCTTTTCAAGGCTTGTAAGTTATCATGGCCCCTCTGAGAATTGTGAGAGTGAGTGGGGGTTGTAGGAAGACCTATGAAAGCAGGGGATATCGCTACTTGTTGGACATTGCTGACTGTGAGCTCACTTGGGCCCCTGAATCCCACATATGGGAAGCCCTGGCTTAAGGACTTGGCAGGCCCAAGCCCAATCCCAGTCCCGCCTCCCCAAACTGAAAACTGCATGGGACAAGGACATTTGTGTTGAGGCGGATCGTGTTGTGTTGAGTTCCCCAAAATCCAGCCCTATGATCCTGGACATGAACGAAACCCTGGGACCTCACTAAGACTATCAGAGGAGAGAAAGTTCGTTCCACAGTGTTGACTATGAAATTACCTGATTATTTTGTTTTTAAACACCTAACCAGTTTCCTCATGTTCGTTTGGAGAAGAAAACTTAACAACCTTACCAAATGTATTTATTCTCTTTTATATCCAGCAGTGTTTTTCCACACAACCAAACAATTTTTCTTTCCCCGCCCTTGCCAAATCATCCGTGATATTTTGCATCTATTGAGTACCACCAGTAAATCACTCGTGTTCTCCACAGAACAATGTACATGCAAAGCCCATTAAGGGCAATGCAGATCCCCAAGGGCAAAGGAATGTAGGAAGGGGGCTAAGTTAAAGCGGAGTTGGAGGGGGGAGATAAAGCACTCATCCCCCTGCAGTGCCCACCTCTCTGAACATGTTGGGACTGTTGGTGGATGCCGTATACTCCCTCTGCTGGAACACCAACATAACCACGGAAGAAGGAGCCTTATCAATGTCTGTATGTTGTTACTTATATATTCATTGCATTTAATTATACGTTGGTGTTGGGCATTAACTTGTGATTGTCTTGAATTCTTATAAATCAATACAGACTGAAACTGTGGCTGTAGGATTAGAATACACTAAAATAACGATTTAAACGGAATTCAAATCCACTTTATTTTAGATAGTCACACCCCATGAAACTCTCCCTCCGTAGACTACTAGCTCCACATATTTATATAACTGCTTAAAATCTAAAGAATCTTCATTAATATATCCATCACTTGTTTCCTCATTCCGTTAGATCTTCCTTCAGACCATATTAGATTCATGTTTATAATGTGTGACTCTAAATAAGTATATACATGAGCATATAAATGTGCATTAGGAGCAGGAGATAGTAAGAACTGCAGATGCTGGAGTCAGAGATAACACAGTGTGGAGCTGGAGGAACACGGCAGGCCAGGCAGCATCAGAGGAGCAGGAAAGTTGACATTTCGCGTTGGGACCCTTCTTTTTCTGAAGGAGGGTCCCAACCCGAAACGTCAACTTTCCTACTCCTCTAATGCTGCCTGGCCTGCTGTGTTCCTCCAGAACCACACTGTGTTGTTAGGAGCAGGAATTGCCTTTAGCATTTTTGTCCAATTGCTTTTAGCCACTCGAGCCTGCTTCGCCATTCACTGATCTGTTACCCCATTTTCTTTCTTACCCCCCCATAACCTGTCAACCCCTTGCTTATCAAGAACCTATCTGCTTCTGTCTTAAAGAATAGTCAAAGATGCTGTTGCCATCACCTTTTGAAGAAGAGACCTCCAAAAAGTCTCAATCCTCTGAGAAAATCTCTGTCTTAAATAGGTGGCCCTTTATTTTGAAACAGTGGAAATGTGTAACAATTGATTCCAGCTCTATCCTTCACCAACCAACCCTCTGGAGTATAGGAATTAAAACTTAACCTTCTCTCCCACCTTCCTCTTGCCATATCCCTCCAGCAAAAAGGAGCACAGTTGGAGCTGAATGGACATATAGACTCACAGCAATGCAGTTTGATGCTGAACTGTCCTCTGAAACAGCATATCACAGCATAAAACACCAAAGAGATGGGAAAATAAACAAATGAAAACAAAAAAGGCTAATTTCTATCTGCCGATTTATCCTTAACTCCAGTAGTACCTCTGCACGGAAGGGGGAGAGATGGAAGGAGTTACTTGCTGTAAAATCTGTCATACTGAAGCCTTGTCATTAGCTATATCTAGCATCAGCGCAACAGAGAGGAGCATATGAGAGCTTGTCAACATCTTGCTTTGTAAAACTACCACCTGGATGTAATCGTAGCACCATGGACAAGCACAAACTTGAGTGAGTTTTATAGTCATTGAGTTTTGTAGCAGTAATCTATGCTCTTATGCAGATCCATAATTCATGCTATCTCTCCCCAGCTGTTGTTGTGATTCAAAATGACACAGTCCTGGATCTGAAAAAAGCCATCCAGAGATATGTACAACTGAAACAAGAGCGTGAAGGAGGAACACAGTATATAAGTTGGTAAATTATGTTTGATATTCATTCTGTCAATTTATTAAGGTAACACATCTGTACAGATCATGGAGGACAGATTGAACTGAAAGTAATGATCTGATAATTCATTAAGTTGAGGCTAATATTTTCAGTGTTTGATCTTTAATTATTGCCATGCTAATTTGTCTAGAATTGACAAATGCAAAATATATCACATGTCATTAAATAATATCAGAAGAAAATGTGCTAAACTGTGGTACTATTTAATGGTTCTGTCTTGTGTATCTGAAGGGATACAGTTTTTATTATGGTACAATTCATGATCTGGATACAAATTATAATTAAAATTGCACTCATTTTGAATTTATTTCTCCCTCAAATTTCCACTTGGATATTACCAATTGCCTAAATTAATGCAAGTTTTTCCAGCAATTTTTGTTTATGTTCTGAAAATTTCAGCATCTACAGTTCTTTGTTTTTTTTTTGCCAAATTTAATGTCTACTATGAACCAGAACAACCTGGCGACATATTAAAGCAAATAACCCAAGATGTATTTAAAAGTGATAATTTGGTGCAGTTTGATTTAAACAGTATGTGTAGGCTTATCATGAAAAATAAGTTTATAAGTCTTAGTCTACCACCAGTAAGTAACTCCGCAGTAATTGAAAATTACTTTTAAAAAAAAACAAAACCATTTATTGGTTATATTGATGTATATTATCATCAATTTGTTAGTAAATTAAAATATATCAAAAAATTTACAAGGATGTTGCGAGGTTTGGAGCTATAGGGAGAGGCTGAATAAGCTGGGGGTATTTTCCCTGGAGTGTTGGAGGCTGAGAGTTGACCGTACAGATGTTTATGAAATGATGAGGGGAATGAATAGGGTGAACAGCCAAGGTCTTTTCCCCAGCGTAGGGGAGTCCACAACTAGAGGGCACAGGTTCATGAAGACAGGAAAGATTTGAAAGGGACCTGAGGGGCAATGTTTTCACACAGAGGGTGGTGCGTGTATGGAATGAGCTGCCAGAGAAGGTGGTGGAGGCTGGTACAATTACAACATTTAAAAGACGTCTGGAGGGATACATGAATAGGAAGGGTTTAGAGAGATATGGGCTAAATGCTGGCAAATGGGACTAGATTAATTTTAGGAAATCTGATCGGCATGAACGAGTTGGACCGAAGGATCTGTTTCTATGCTGTACATTCTCTATGACTCTATCCAGAAGCTTCCAAACTATGACTATTTAGCATACTTTAGTTTAGTAAGTTTTTGTGTCTGCATAAAGAATTGAAAATGGCTGTAATTAGCAGAAAGGTGGGGATGGCGAAAGGTGATCCTTTAGAACGTGGAGGCTGGTGAAGTGAATGGTGAGGATGAGGAAACCCTGATTGTAGTTGGAGGGGAAAGGTGACAGAAGAAGCATGGGAAAAAGCATGTACACAATCACAGGCACTGCCATTTGCATTGTGGTAGGGGTATGGCATCTTCTGTTGTGCTGGAAGAAAATCTTGAGAGAAGCACTGGTATGGAAGGTGGTGATTTAAAATATAGTTTCTAGATATCTTGTGCTCTGATTTCAGTTAGGTTCCTATAGTAATACGTGAGATTTTCTAGTAGAGCTGCTTTTCCAGAATTTATGTTTATGCATTAATATTGATCCAAATAATCACAAGAAACGGCATGTCAGCATTTTGACTGAAGAGGTATCCTTTCAATGCAGCAAACTTTAGAGATAAAAAATGGTTTGTGGGTTCTGGACTGCGTCCTTGCATGCAAAGGGAGGATTGAGATCGATGAACAGATAGCATAGTAATTAGGTTGCTTATATTTTTCCTTATTTGGAAAAGAAACAATATAAAATTGGGTACAGTGGCAACATTTTACTGATATGCTGCTTTGTAATTTATTTTGTTCTGTATACACACAGGGGCAATTCTACATTTGTAGAAATGGGGAAAAGTGGCTTTACCTGATAACTGCTATTATTACTGGAACCTTCAGGTAGTAAATTTGCTGCTACATCAAATTTTATATGAACAAGGATAGTGCATGTGTTTGCCAATGAGGTAAAATAATAAATAAGTATTGCACTTCTGCACAAACATGTGCTGCCATTGCAATTTACATTGAAGTTATCATGTCTAAAGCTGGTTTATTTCATAATGTAGTGCAGCTGTATTTGTATAGAAAACCGTGCAACTGCATTGCACCTACCAGTTTTACCATGGTAGGATTTTAAGAGTTGTAAGGATGTGATTGATTATATTATTACCATATCTTATAAGCATCTTTTTTTTGCTTCACCTTGCTCTTTAACTCTTCGCCATCTGGGGAACTGTGGTTTTGTTCGTTCTGCTTTTCCACATTTTGGGAACATACCTGAACTCTCTCTTGTTTTGTTGTGTTATTACATTATTGCCTTTGATTCCAGTTTCCCAGGGCCAGGTCTCTTCTCAACCTATTGAAATTAGCTCTTTCCAAATAGTTACTTTTATTTAAAACTCTCGTTTGCACTTTGTCCTTTTCCATATCAATTATAAATGCCTATGGTACAATGAATGATGGATAAATGTAAGGTTGTCCACTTTGGTACCAAAAACAGGAACTAAGATTATTAGCTGAATGGTGATAGATTGGGAAAGGGGGAGGTGGAATGAACTCTGAGTATTCTTGTACAGCAGTCGCTGAAGGTAAGCATGCAGGTGCAGCTGGAAGTGAAGGATGCAAATGGTATGTTGCCCTTCATTGTGAGAGGATTCAAGTACAGGAGCAGGGATGCCTTGCTGCAATTGCATAACACCTTGGTGAGACCACACCTGGAGTACTGTGTGTGGTTTTGGTCTCCTAATTTGAGGAAGGATGTTCTAGCCATAGTGGCAGTACTGCAAAGGTTGAACAGTCTGGCAGGGCTGGGTGGAATGCTCTTTAGAGGGTCACTGCAGATTTGATGGGCCAAATCTGGGGGTTACCATTGACCAGACACTCAACTGGACTCACCACATTAACAGAGTGGCTACAAGAGCAGGTCAGAGATTAGGAATACTGCAGGGCGTAACTCGCCTCCTAACTCCTTAAAGCCGGTCCACCATCTACGAGGCACAAGTCAGGAATGCGATGGAATTCTCCCCACTTGCCTGGATGAGTGCAGCTCCAATAACACTCAAGAAGCTTGACACCATCCAGGACAAAGCAGCCTGCTTGATTGGCACTACATCCACAAGCATCCACTCCCTCCACCACCAACGCTCAGTAGCAGCAGTGTGTACTATCTACAAGATGCACTGCAGAAATTCACCAAAGATCCTCAGACAGCACCTTTCAAACACATGACCACATCCATCTAGAAGGACAAGGGCATCAGACATATGGGAACACCACCACTTTCAAGTTCCCCTCCAAGCCACTCACCATTCTGACTTGGAAATATATTGCCGTTCCTTCACTGCTGGGTCCAAATCCCGGAATTGCCTCCCTAATAGCATTGTGGGTCAACCCACTGCATGAGGACTGCAGCGATTCAAGAAGGCAGCTCACCACCACCTTCACAAGGGCAACAAGGGACGGGCAAGAAATGCTGGCCAGCCAGCAATGCCCACATTCCCACAAATGAGTAGAAAAAAAGACATGGCGTCTGTCTGAGCTGTAGGGATTTTGTGATTCTATAAGTTCAACACCCACAGTCACAATCTAAGGATACAGAGTGGGCCATTTAGAACTGAGCTGAGGAGAAATATCTTGGGGGTGAGTCTATGGAATTCTCGGCCACAGAAAACAGTTGAAGCAAAAACATTGAATGTTTTCCAGAAGAGATTAGATATAATTCTTTGAACTTAATGGGATTAAAGGATACAGGACAAAACAGGAATAGGGTACCCAGCAGGATGATCACCAAAAATCCTACTGCATGGTATAGCAGGCTCGAAGGGCTGAATGGCCTACTCCTGCTCCTATTTTCAGTGTTTGAATGTTTTGAGAGTGTGATCAGCTCCCAACAACGTTTCTCTATTTCTAATGTTTTTGTTCCATCAGGTATTTATCAAACTCCGACATTTCTGTTTCTATTTTTAAAGAATTGAATGGGATCAATTCTGTGTGATTATCATAGTGTGAAAGACAAGAGTTTCTGCTTTGTCCGTAGGAAATATATTTGGAGAACCTACCACCTGACGTTTAATGGAGAGAAACTGACAGATGACAAGATGAAACTGAAAGAGTGAGTATTAAAAAGTTTATGGTGTAAGCTTTTACTTTGTAAGGCTTCCCATTCGCCAGTAAGTGGGGTTATATTGGTGTTTCGAGTACATTTTAAAAATGCATATACCTTCTCAAGGGTCATTTGATAAAGAATAGTAAATATATGTCCAGGAGATGCTGAAAGTATCCGAGATGGCAAGAATATGAAAGGAACATACTACAGAGGGTGCTGGCAAATTAAAAAAAACAGAACATGTTGGAAATGTCTCTATTATATTCCAACTTTCTCTCAATGCTCCCGAGAGGTAGAGAGTAGAGTAGGAAAATGATAGGAGGCTTCTTGATAGACTGGGTGAAAATAAAAAAAAATAGAGACTATATAAAGCAAGCATAAATGTCAGCTCTGATGGAGAGTTATCTAGACTCAAAACGTTAGCTTGCTTTCTCTCCATGGACATTGTCTGACCCACTGTGATCTCCAGCAATTTTTGTTTTCAGTACAGATTCCGGCATCTGCAGTAATTTGCTTCTATGAATGTCTGAGGTGTGGGAATGCATCACCCTGCATAGAACGATCAGACAAAGCAATTTAGATTTGGGTCAGCAAGAATCTCAAGAAACCCATGTATGCATACGGTTTCTGCTATAGTTTAACAAGCTGAAACTTCACTTTTTCTGATCAGAGTATGAGTGTCCTACCTTCTGGTGCATTAGTTTATCTGGAAGGGAGTAAGCAGCCCACAGTGACAGATCTGTCACAAACTGGCTAGAAAATCATCAGTTATGTATGGTATGTGCATATCTACTTGGACTTTGGAGACTGTCATTGACTATTCTATTCTTCAATTCTCAAACACATTATCTTCAAATCAACTGAACACAGAAGGAAACAGAAAATACTGGAGATACAAGTTTTGCAAGATCTGTGGAGGGAGAAACAGAAAAATATTTCTAGTCCAGTGAGATTTCTTTAGAGTCAAATTGGGCTTGAAGCAAGACCCTGTCTCTGTTTTAGGCTGCCAGACTTGCTGAGTTTCTCCAGTAGTTTCTTTAATTTCAGATCTCCACCAGTAAATTTCTCTGCATATTTTGCTTTTATTAAACTCTTAACAGAACATGCTTAGCAACTTGTCTTCCCAGTTCTTTCCTATTGTGAGCACAGCTCAAAACATTGTTGTTCAATTTTAATAGACAACCAACAGGGCCCTTGAGTAAAACTAGCCGATATGTAGCAAAACTTAAAATTGTCTCATAAGCAGATGTTCTCTTGTGATATTTTACATTATATTTTCTGGAAGGTTTGAGACAAATATAAAGCGAATGCATAAGCTTATGTGGTTAAATTGCAGGTTACACTGTTATTAATTAACCTTAATGAAATGAGCCTCTTTATTCTGTCTATATTTGTCTTTGGACAGAAGGCTCCAATCATGTATATGATACACGAGGTTTAAGATCAGATTGCTTGTCTTGTTGACTGTGTCATGTTGCTGCTAATCCCAACACTGCTGTAAACACTGATAAGAAGATACAATTTGCGCTGTGATATCTGTGGCTGACATTCTATTGACTAATGCGTAAAATTGTGTATTAACCAGCATTGGGAGGCAGAACTTGCTGAGCAGGAAATTATTATCTGATTTTCAAGTTTAAACTTCTTTTATTTGCAGTTACGGTATAAGGAATCGAGATGAAGTTACCTTCATAAAAAAACTTCGAAAAAAATAAAGGTTAGTACTCTGCTTAATAGTTTCGGTCTTAATTTCTCACTTTTAATGCAGATGGTAAACTCTTCACGTACAGTGCCTGTGCCCTAACCATGCAACTTATCAAAAGTACTTTCTTGTTCCTAACTGATTATTCCATAAGCATGTCACATCCCAAAGAATTCAGGCCCAGTAAGATATGTTCAGCTAATACAGCTAGTATTCATTGTGTCTTCATTTAAAAATCCCAGACTGAATTGTATCATCATAATATTAGATAATTATATTTCAAACTGGCTGAATGCCCCTCATTTTTGATTGGATGAAAACACTCAAGTACTACCTCAGGTGCCCAGTGAATGTATCCAGAGCCTGGCTGAAACACACAGGCTAGAAATTCCCAGGTTTATACAATCATAGAATCCCTACAGTGTGGAAACAGGCCCTTCGGCCCAACAAGTCCACACCGAACCTCAGAGCATCCCACCCAGACCCATCCCCCAATAACCCACCTAATCTACACCTCCCTGAACACTATGGGCAATTTAGCATGGCGAATCCACCTAGCCTGCACATCTTTGGACTGTGGGAGGAAACCGGAGCACCCGGAGGAAACCCACGCAGACATGGGGAGAATGTACAAACTCCACACAGACAGTCGCCCAAGGCTGGAATCGAACCCGGGTCCCTGGCGCTGTGAGGCAGCAGTGCTAACCACTGTGCCACCGTGCCATCCCAATGCATGGGATCTCAATCAAGATGCCACTAGGATTCCAACAGTTGGTAGATGGCATGGTGACTTGGTGGTTAGCACCGCTGCCTTACAGCGTGAAGGATCTGGGTTCGAGTCCACCCTTGGACTGTGTGGAGTTTGACTGTCTGCATCAGTTTCCTTCTACAGTCCAAAAATATATGGTTTAGATGGATTGGTGAATGTTGAACTCGGGACACGTATACAGAATAATATCTGTGGGATATGAAGAAGTTTCTTGGGTGACACGGTGGCCCAGTGGTTAGCACTGCTGCTTCATGGTGCCAGAGAGCCAGGTTCGATTTCAGCCTCGGGTGACTGTGTGGAGTTTGCACGTTCTCGCTGGTTCTGTGTAGGTCAGGTGGATTGACCATGGGAAATACAGGGATGGGTCTAGGTGGGACGCTGTTCAGAGGGTCAGTGTGGGGTAGATGGGCCAAATGGCCTACTTCCACACTGTAGGGATTCTAAGATTTGTTGAGAATTATTGTGCTTGATCGCTCATTTGTCACTTGCTGCTTTTTAAACACCGTCCAGCTTAAATTTAACATAAATGGGATGGCAAAATAGTATTCACCTTTCTGCAAGTTGGGATTCAATTCAGTGACAGAGAAATCAGATTCACTTGTTTAGCGACTGTCATGTCTGCTTTGTTGGTGTCAAAAATACTTGATAGTTACATTTGTAAACCTTGAGTGTAAATGTGACCTGGATGTTTCTGATTTTCCTGTGATGTTGATAATTTGAAAATGAGGTACGCTTCAATATACAGGAAGTGAAATAGAGTCACAGTTTTAATTTTGTCTCCGTGTATTGCTCCTATCTCTTACAGAAATATCCATTAAAATTGCTTGAGGCCCAGCTATGAATTCATTGAAAATACTGAAAGGAAGACGAGTCTTGCCATATTTCACCTTTTGACTTTAGATGGAAATTGTAAGCCTTCTGTAAGCAGTGGGTTCTGAAGTCAGTTCAAAATATTTAGAATGATTCAATTCATAGGATCTCAATATTCAGATTGTATTGCTGTCGTTAAGCTCGCTAACTAAAGCGAGAAAAGTTTAATGAGAAAATGACGTTAAAAATCAAGTTAAAGTGTACTATTTTAGACGAAATAGGAGCACTAGAAAGAAATGCAAAAATATTTAAAAGGATGGTACATAGTTTAGGGATTTTTCTTCGGGAAGAAGATTTGGGAGAGAGCTGCTAGAGGTCTATCAAGTTATGAATGGGTTGGTCATTACCAATGTGGGTAGAATGTTTCCACTTGTGGAAGAATTACTAACTAAAGGTTTTATAAATTCTACATAGTTATTAAAGAATGTGTGGAGGAGTTCCTTTACTTGAGAATGATTAGAATGTTGAACTCAATACAACAGGAATTGGTTGAGGCAAATAGTTTACTGACTATTTTCAAGAGGAGACAGATAAGGACATGATAGAAAAGGCAATAGAAATAGCCTGAAATGCTGAGGTCAGGCTGATGGACTCATGCTGAGTATAGCACAAACAGAGTTGAGCTAAATGGCCCGCTTCTGTAAATCTGTAATTTTGCTAGAAACATAAGCCCAAATCTTCTGCTGTCAGATGGAATCACTATTTCCATCCCAAATCAGACAACAGACTCACTTACCTTTCTGTGATTTTTCTGGCTGGACTGTGAAGCAGGATCTAACATAACGTATGTCGTTCAATAAACCTTACGGGCAACATCAGAGGGGGTCATCACAAAAATCCATGTTGGCACTTACTGAGAGAATGTGGCCATGAGAGTAGGGTGCCAGCTGGGTGAGGGAGTGGGTACAGGAAGGTTGATGAGCAGGGGGAGATCTGTCAACTTGGGTTTGGTGTCCAGAGATGTAGGTCAGTCAAGTGCCTGCTATGAGGAGGGAGACCATGTATGTGTAAGTGGAGAGAGTTGTTGGATGCTAAAAGAATGTGTGTCAGTTGGGTGTCCAGGATTTAGATGTGTTGGTCGGTTGAGTGCCAGTTGGGGTGTAGGGCGTTATTTGTCATGTATCTGTAGGGAGGATAGTCATAGAGTCACACAGCACGGAAACAGATCTTTTGGTCCAACTTGGCATTGCCAACCATAATCCCAAACTAAACTAGTCCCATTTGCCAGCATTGGCCCATATCCCTCTAAACCCTTACTATCCATGTACCCATCCAGATGCCTTTTAAATGTTGCAATTGTACCAGCTTCTACCACTTCTATCGGCAGCTCATTCCAATCACACACCACCTTCTGTGTGAAAAAGTTGCTTCTCATGTGCCTTTTAAAACTTTCCCCTCTCACTTTAAATCTATTCCATCTAGTTTTGGACTCCCCTACCCTGGGGAAAAGAAATTGGCTATTCATCCTATCCATGGCCCTCATGATTTTCTAAATCTCTATAATGTCACCCCTCAGCCTCTGATGCTCCAGGGAATAAATCCCCAGCCTGTTCAGCCTTTCTTTATAACTCAAACTCTTCAATCCGGGCAACATCCTTATAATTTTTTTCTGCACCCTTTCAAGTTTAAGAATATCTTCCCTCTGGCGGGGCGACCAGAATTGAACACAGTATTCCAAAAGTGGCCTTACCAATGTCTTTTACAACCAGTCAGCAGGGTCATTAGTGAGTCTGTGGGTGGAGGGGTTGTGTTTGTGTCAGTTCATGTGTGTATCAGTCTAATCCTTTGACTTTACCTGGTTAACTGCCCAGGTAACTGAGTTGAAACTCTGTGAATCCCCAACCTTAACTCAAATTTGGGAGTTTTCCAGAAGGTTCCAGATACAGGTAATTGCCATCAGAAGATTCAACATTCTGGCCAATTACCTTGCCGTTAGTGTGTCGGGACTCCTGAGAGGTTCTGATGCACATCTTTCAGGCTTGACTGGTCTTCAATTTCCTGAGATATCAGGGTTACACAGCATAAGTTTTGTTTATTGAACGAGCATGGCCTGGCATCAAGCTGCCGAAAGATGAAAGTAGTAACCCACAACTACAGTGTAGCATTGTACGTTTGGTATTATGATTTTAGCAAGCGATTAAGAATTATCTGCACCTTAAGGGTGAATTTCACAGATCATAGAATCCCTAGTATGGAAACAGGCCCTTCGGCCCAACAAGTCCACACCAGCCCTTGGAGCATCCCACCCAGACCCATCCCCCTAATCTACATATCCCTGAACACTACAGGCAATTTCCCATGGCCAATCCACCTAGCCTGCACATTTTTGGATTGTGGGAGGAAACCAGAGCTCCCAGAGGAAACCCACGCAGACACAGGGAGAATGTGCAAACTCCGCACATTTCAGTTAAACCCAGGTCCTTGGCGCTGTGAGGCAGCAGTGCTAAACACTGAGCCACCATGCCGCCCATTTCTTTGTGGTTCCTCTCACTCCTCCACTGTAAATTCAGTAGAAACTCTCCATATCTTCAAAACTCTGCAGCATTCAGGGTTAGCTAAGTCTTATTTTCATGTTGCCAGATCTTTCAAACAATTACGATTTTATCACTCTGATTATTTCTGTATTACTTATACTAAAGTAGAAAAAAATGAACTATTTTCAGATAGCTGTTTTTCTGCTTTTTGTTTCTTCCAGATTTGTGTAACTCTTAACAAGTGTCCAAAAGACGAATTTATCTTGTAGAGAGATGTCAGTTCCTGCCTCTCTGCTCCTGACAAAACTCTTTATCACACCAGAGGACAGAAGAAAAGAAACACAGGAGCTGTATTGTTCATTCGAACTTTAGTGATAAAGGAACAAGTCAATTTCTGAATTGTTACTATTTGTAATTACGTGTTCAGTATTATGTTGGTTGTATAAAGTGTTTATTGAATGACTAATTGGATTTAGAGATTAACTTTGTAACTTTTGCAATCCCGTTGATTATATCAAAATCCATATGTTGTAAGTCTAAGTGCAAGAATGTCATGCATCAGACTAGCATTGTACAAATGAAAATTATGATAGAATGTATCCAAGTATTGTAAGAGCATTATAAAAGTATTTTTTAAATGCTACAGAACTAAATGTCTACTTAAAACCAGATATTCTTTCGGATTTTTATCTGTTAGTATTTACAAAGGTATAGTTTTCACAAATAAGAGACCACCAGATGATTACTGACTAGTAAGGCTATTTGATGCAACTTGAATCAAGTATTAACACTCATTGTATAAAAATGACTTCTAGGTCTCATTCCTACCTGCTAATCGACATTGTTTTCTTATTCAAGAGTGACACCGCTCATGGGCTTTTCTCAGTATTGGCCACAACACAAGAGTAACTCACTTCTGCCCTGCCAAGCAATTGACTGTTCACAATGTGTGCTGACCCAACATCCTAACCCTTACTTAGGAAGCCTGTCTCTTTCTAACTGGTGGTCTGGCAAGTGAAGTAAGGCAGGTTATCTGAGACTCCGCACAGAAACTGACATTCTTGATTTCTGCCTTACTCCCCTCCGTCTGCTGGAGTCAAGTAAACAGGGTTCGCTATATTTGCAAGCATTAGGGTATGATCCTAGAACTCGGATTTAACTGGGAGACATATTGACTTTTGAGACCACATCTGAGCATCCAAGATTATCTGTAAGCCTGCCAGCTGTGGAATTCTGTGGACTGGGCAAAGACCTGACTGAAGAGATCCTTCTGTCCATCTTAATTTTGGAATTTTCACCAGCTCCCTGCCAAATAAGGCTGGCTTTTGTGAATGAAATATTTCCGCTATATATAATCAGCATATATTTTGGATACTTTTCTTAAAAATAAAACCTGTGCATTGAAGTTTTTTTTTTCTTTCTACGCAATCTTCATTGTGCACATTTATGGAAACACTTTCTTTGTGAGCAATTTTAAAACCAGGAAGTCATTCGTTAATATTCAATACTACAAATGCGAAGAAGTATTTTACTCCAGCTATGACTGGGGATTTTCTAGGTAAACCAATCCAGCTTTAAAAGGTGAGCACTTGAATCTAAAAGTACAAAGCATTTCCTTGTTGACAGTTTAGAAATGTCAGCTCACCTACTGATGTTTGGCTGGGTGCTAATCCAGGATCCTCCCACACCCTTGCCACGCTCAGTGTTTCATCTAAGTGTTGTTCAACATGGAGGAGTACTGATTCATCAGGCGAGGGAGGATGGTGCTTGGCAATTAACAGAGGGTTTCTTGCCCATGGTTAACTTGGAACCATTAGACTTTATGGGGTCTGGAGTCAATATTGAGGACTCCCAGAGCAACTCCATCCCAACTGTATACCACTGTGCTGCCACCTCTGTTGGGTCTGTCCTGTTGGTGTTCTTGCCCATTGAAGTCAGGTCTCCTTCAGTGAATTGATCTTACTCTGGATTGTTCATTGTCTTTTTCCACGTTTGTCCTAAACCCTCAATCCAGTGATTACTGTCCCCCACATGCACTTGAACTGCTTTATCCACCTCGTTGCCTACAAACAGGTCTAGCCATGCCTCCTTTCTTCTTGGACTTGACCTGCACTGCTGTAGGAAATTCTCCTGAGCACAGCCTGAGAATAGTTGTCCCTTGCTGCTCTTCACACCTGTTCTTGTCCAGATTTAGGTCCCCCAGTATAACTATTCCATAATGCATGCACCTCTCTGTAACTTCTTTGAAGATATGTTCCTGTACATCCTTCCTATAATTTGTCTGTCTGCACACCATACTGAGCAGTGCAATTGCAATATAGCCCAGCCAAATCAATTCTGTCTTTCAGTATTCTGGAACATCATGTTTCTCTAGCATTCTATCTTTAAATAAAAATGCCAATCCTCCTTTACTTCCTTTCCAGCTTTCCAAAACATCCTTTAACCAGGAATATTTACACCCAGTCCTGCATTGACTTCTACCAGTACTCTATCAGATAGGACTATCTGCTCCTGGAACACGCCGACCTTATTTATTATATTCCATGGACAACAGCCCACAAGGATTTCAGTCTTGGCTCTGTTCATCTAGTGTGTACAGCTGTCACCTTCCCTCGAAACATTCCCAAAGTCCAAGTTCTACACCACCTTTCCAGCCACGCAGTTACCTGTCTTATCCTTCTGATTCTGCATGCACTAGCACATGATCCTGCAAATAGTCCAGAGGGTACTGCTTTTGAGATACTGCTCGGCAATTCTCTACTGAGCATCCTAAGTTCTGACTGCAGAATCGTGTCCCCATTCCTGTCTATATCATTGGTATCAACGTCGACCATAACCTTTGGCTGATTTCCTTCCCTCTTGTCGCTGCCTGTTACATCCTTGACCCGGGCAGCATACCACTGTGGTGTCAAATCTAGGGCTGCAGCAGCCTCTGGCTGTTCCATACTTAGAGAATTCTCTTAAAGAATCAGCACTGCTCTTCCAATCTTCCTCTCCTGAAAGGCTGACTCGCTTATGGTGCCTGAGGCTTGGCTTTTGCTGAACTCCTCTGAGGAACCACTGCCCTCTCCAGTATCCTGAATAGAAAACCAACTACTGTGTGGGATCTTAGGGGATTCCTGCACCATCTCCTGAATGGTTCCCTTGGGCTGCCTGGTGTCATTCCTTTTTTACACAGAGAGTGCTGCGTGTATGTATGGAACGAGGTGCCAGAGGAAATGGTGGAGGCTGGTACAATTACAACATTTGTAGGAAGGGTTTAGAGGGATATGGGCCATATACTAGCAAATGGGCCTAGGTCAGATTGGGATGTCTGATTGATGAGGCTGAATTGGACTGGAGGGTCTATTTCCGTGCTGCATGACTCTATCTACCTGCATACAGTTCTGAAGGAAAGTCATTTTAGACTCAGAAAGTTAACTCTGTTTATTTCTCTGCAAATGCTGCTAGACTCGTCGAGTTTCTCCACCACTTTCTGTTCTTATTTCAGATCTCCAGCCTCAGCAGAGTTTTTCCTAAGTGAAACATTAACACATCATTAACATTTTGAAGAGTTATGAATTACTCTTTCATATACTTTCCTTCTAATTTACTTCTACCTTTGCAGTGAAAGATATTAAGGTTTAAGGTTGTAACGAAGCCATAAACACCCATTTTATGTACTTTGTATAAAATTTTCAAAATAGAGAAAAAATCCAGCCCTCTCCAGCGTGTAATATTCATTACAAATATAATACAATGCACCTGCATAATTCCATGGCATGCATAATTACAATAGCAACAGTAACGTCTTCCAAATCATTGGTTCTCCATTTAATATAATCACATTACACAGGATTAGACACATTCACTCCTTTCTAGCTTACAGATCTTCAGAAGAAGTTGTCTAAATTTCCAGGATCTCTTGAGCTTACTTGACAAAGTCAGCAATTCACTGCAGGAATTCCTGTCTTTCTGAACGGTAAGTTTGAACAGCTGAGATCAAAACATCTATTTTGTTTGTGTTACTTGCAATTCCCATGCTATTGCCAAAACAAATCATGAAAATGGTCAAAATAATTTAATAATCTAAACACTATCAGGAATATTAGAAATACTTGTTTTTGCTTCTAATGTAATCTACCACAACGTTTTTTTGATCTGTGATGAAGGAAGAAACTGGGGTTATGGATATTCAGCAACATGTCTTTGGTTTCTTAGACTTTGAAAAACATTTGGATCCAATACTTTTTAAAATAAAGCAAACTAAGGAAAAATGTTAACTTGGTCACTTGCCCTTTTCTGCTAGCTATTTGAATGGTGGCAATTTTGAAGAGTATTGAGTGTACATTGTAAGAGAAATGGTATTTTGTACATTCAGAGCATTGGACTCCTTCAGGAAGTATTATCATTAAGTTAACCTGCCAAAGCTGCAACTACTTTGGATTTCTGCACTCAACTTTTTGATTAAACTCAGCAGATTGAAAAAATAAGGAGTCTTTATAATTAGACATGAAAAGCAAGATTGGATTGAGAGAGAAACATGAGATACAAACAAAATGCAAGAAAAGTAAAGATGTGACGTATTTAAAATCTCAAAGTCTTTACTAAATGCAGAAATGCATTGTATTAATAATGACTGTCATTAAAAGGATACGTTCACTATTCTGGAAACAGCAGGGACAAGCCATGAATTTGAAAGAGTTAAGCAAAAAGTAATTCTGACAGTTGGATATGAGCTTTAGAAGCTGCAATCAAATAGAAGCTCGAGAAAGATTGTAGAGGAATTTTAAAACTCACTATCTTCTGTAATAAGAACCCATGTTGGTGAACAAAGAATTACAACTGTGAGACAGGCAGCAATAATGGTTGATCATTAAGAGCTGATCCATAGAACTAAACCTTTTGCCATCACCCTTGAGTTTAAGAGGGGTGGAAAGTGGTGGAGTAAAAGGAAGCCAAGTAACCAGGGTAAAGAATGCATAACTGGGAATTTTTTGTTTTCTCTCTATTCATTTTTTGTGGAATGTGGGTGTTGCTGGCTGGCCAGCATTTCTTGCCCATTCCTAGTTGCCCCTGAGAAGGTGGTAGTGAGCTGCCTTCTTGAACCGCTGCATTCCTTCTGCTGTGGGTTGACCCACAATGCTATTAGGGAGGGAATTCCAGGATTTTGACTCAGCGACACTGAAGGAGCGGCGATATATTTCCAAGTCAGGGTGGTGAGTGACTTGGAGGGGAACTTGGAGGTAGTGGTGTTCCCATATATCTGCTGCCCTTGTCCTTCTAGATGGAAGTGGTCGTGGGTTTGGAAGGTGCTGCCTGAGGATTTTTGGTGAATTTCTGCAGTGCATATTGTAGATAGTACACACTGCTGCTACTGAGCATCGGTGGTGGAAGGAGTGGATGCTTGTGGATGTGGTGCCAATCAAGCGGGCTGCTTTGTCCTGAATGGTGTCAAGCTTCTTGAGTGTTATTGTGGCTGCGCTCATCCAGGCAAGTGGAGAGTATTCAATCACACTCCTAACTTGCGCCTTGTAGATAGTGGACAGGCTTTGGGGGAGTCAGGAGGAGAGTTACTTGCCACAGTATTCCCAGCTTCTGGCCTGCTCTTGTAGCCGCTGTGTTAATGTGGTGAGTCCAGTTGAGTTTCTGTTCAATGGTAAC